TTCTGGAAGCCTAGTGTCCGCGCGTACCGCACCGCGTCGTCGTCGCAACGCAGGTCGAAGACGAGAGCGCCAACGTTGGAATCGAAATGGGGGGTTGGAAAGGAGTTGATGCAGCAGCTGGCACCCACGGGGAGGAAAGGCAAGCAAAGGTTGGAAGGTAGATGTCTGCACCCGGGAGAGGATGAAGGGTAAGCTTGGAAGTGTCTCAGAATGCTGTGCAGGCGGACACCTGTAGTTGGAGGTTCCCGGTGTTGCGAGTTCAGGAGGCCAATCAACGGCAGCAGCCTTCCGCAGCTCGGCCTCGCGGTACGTATCTCGCTTTCCCCAATGAGACTGGACGCCACTCAGAGACGTTATCGGGTCTCTCTGGGCTCCAAGTGCTCTAATCCATCGCACATGATTGGCAGCCTGTTTCACCCTCACCTCACCACCCTCCAAGGTCCACTGGCGGTTGCATCCTTTACAGACTCAAGCGGGCTGGGAAGACGGACTGGTGACAGTGATCCCCCGTCGCAGCTCCGACATTTGCTGGCAGCCGTGCATACCTTGCGTACCGTACTACTGTGGGAGAAAGCAGACCAGACATAGATTTGGGTGCGGTGCCCGGCATGGAATGATACATAGCGATAGGCCTTGGAGTGTGGGCGAGTGCAACCCCCTCCTCAAAGCATGCCTATCGATACATCACGTATCCGTACCATCGACCGACTTTTCTCTCAAGGGCGGCATTGTTAGAGATAATCATTCAAGGCGGTGAAGCTTGAACGTGCCGCGCCCGCTTTTGACCGCCCACGAGTCTTCCGCTTTTTACATGATGCCATCGATGAAGGCTCGGGACAAACCATTTCGGGCATGAACAGATGGACGGTATGCATTCTGACAGCGCCTTCCCTGGCAGGATGAGTTTTGCTGTACACGAGTACACAAGCTCTCCAAGTCAACCAAGGTCAATTGTACAGGATATCGTCCTGTCAGCAGCGGTGTCCGAGGCTGTATGGCATGGGTAAGGTGTTTTCTGGCGGAGGAAACTGGTTTCTGAAGGGGCAATGTGAATGAGACAGAATCCCATAATCGAGTCCAAGGCATTTTGAGGCGTTTCTTGCTTCCCGGGTTCCTGGCCGACACGTCTGAGAGCTGTGGATAGGCCCGTCCTGGCGAATTCGTGATGTGTTTGATTGTGGCCGAGCTAGACACTTTGAACGGCATGACCACTTAGTCTTGGCCGATCATTAAGCAGGTCCCGATGGGCGTCGCGAGTCGCCGCGGCCGGCGCGGGACCAGTTGGTGTCTTGATGTCTTAGCTGGCTGACTGGGGGGGGATCACGGGGTCCGGCCGGTCGCCTCCTTCGCCCCCTCCCGTCCCCCGGGTGCCCTCCATCAAGTCCCGATTACGCCCAAGAAGCAGCGAAAAGGCTCCGGCGAGAAACGGTGAGGTGTGCCACCCCCGGATTATGGGACGAGTCAGGAGATGTTGGTGAAGTGACAGGCCTCGACCAGATGATGTAGTGGCTATTAGTAGAAACCAGCATTGATATAAATGCTAGCGCGATTCCCTTCAGCGACCGAGGGAGAGGATGAGGAAAGAAGAGACAATCTCCCGAAAAACACCACTTCTTCGACAGAGAGCAACGACGACCCGACCGGGTAGCAGGCAAAGAGGAGGTACGTTCGTTCAAGAAATGATTCAGAGAAGGGCAAGGATTGCAGAGTTGTCGTTGACACGATTTAAAGCATCAGGAAGACACATCAACTTCAGCCACTTACCAGATATTGATCCAATGCCTCCGGGGTTCTGGACTTTATGCACAGACCACCACACCGCATCGAGTGCTAAGGTACCTACCTAAGGCACCTAGGCAGCGAGAGACAGACCGAGCGACTTACAAGCTGCGCGACGCTGGGAGCCAGAGAGTGACGGAATCAACTGAAGCGCTGGCAAGCTGGGCTGGAACAGGATCACCACGTCAAAAAAGGGAAGAAGCTCTGAAGACGCCACGACGGTGCACTTGGAGTTGACTTTGGACCAACGTTGATTGAGCGAACTGTCCTGTCCGACACAGCCGCCGGGCCCAACCTCCTCCCGCCTCTTCTTGGAGACATCGCTCCGGCGTCCCGTCACCATCGGCGTCGCCTTCACCTCCACATCTACCTGCCTGGCCTTAGGTTCTCCACTGCAGGCCAACCTGTATGCCCGTCGGGCATTTTGCTCCAGAAACACCAAAGACCAGCAAACTCAATTTCAGCGGCAGTCCCGTCTCCTGTAAGATCAACATCAACGTCAACACCACTGCCGCCGCCCCGGAAGACACAGCTTGCGCAGCGCAAACAACATCAATAAAAATAACACCCGGCAGGGATCACCACACGCGCACTGCATCTCTGACCCGGATTCCGACCCCGATCTCAAACCCCATTTATTACGTCCCATCACCGAATTGGGGAGCACCTATCACAAACAGCCCCCAACGTCCAACCAAGTACGTACTTATTTCCCCCGTTTCTTCCAGTCTTCCATGCAGTCGTTGCCCTCGGAGACTTGACGCAAGGCTGGCCAAGTATCTCCCTCCCGTCGAAGCAGATAGCTCTGCTCTGGTCTGCTCTGCCTTTTGCCCTCCACTGCACTGCAAAGTACATACGGATAGCTCGTCGTACGCTGGAACCGCAACCCCAGTCCATGCTCACCCATCCATCCTTCGCTCCCCCTACCGTCACGACTCAGCCTCAGAGCCGCTTGTTCCGCCAACCATCTATTATACTTGGCCATGTACTCTGGCTTCTGCTCGGCTTGAGTGGTCTTTCTCTCCTTCTCCCCGTTTCTCCCATACCCCTTCAGAAGACGCGATATCTGACTGGTCGCAAGACTGCTGCTGGATCCGTGGTCGCACGCCCCACGGTGTTGCCCGCGCATTAACACCATCTCGTCCCAAGTACGTCGCCCACCGTCCAAAATTCTGCCGAGTCCAAGTACATGAGCTGACGTCGAGCTAGGGCAGAGGAGAGACACCGACTTCACATCGAGACGGCTGACTTGGACTGCCTCGCCTTAAACCCGACCCGTCCGAACCGGCGGTCACGAACCAGTCTCGTTGCTCACTCACCTTTACATACCTACTTTACCACGCCATACTCGACTTGCCTTGCGCAGTCTCCCGTCCGCTACTCACAACTTGACACCTCTTCTCACTCTCATCGCCTCAGTTTGAGTATCGGCGTCCGTCAAGTTAAGGTGCCCCTGCAAACCCAAGACTACCTGCGACCTTTTCGCTCGTACTTGTGCGACACTGCGCAGCAGCCGAGCCAAAGCGTTTGCTACCTCGAAAGGACAACAGCCGCGGCGTACATACACCTTTACCCACCACCGCATTATTACCCGTAGACAGCAAGGTAAGTCAAGTCAGCATCCGTGTTGCTTTCGCTCTGCTCTCGCCTGTTTTTTGCGACTCATTCCTGTCTATTCCTTGCCCCCCATCCCCGGTATTGTCATACCTCTTTGCCCACCATTCCCTCTCCAGGTCCTGGATCCCAGGTGTGTTGTCGCATCGCATCCTAGCAAACCCTCGCTGGTCCCTTCCCCTCTGCGAACCCCTGTCTCTGGGCCTGGATCACTCACGGCCAGTTCCATCTCACATTCCAGAGTAGTCGTGTCCTCCCTTGACGCAGGAGACCGCCTGGACACACTGGCTTGAGGATTTTGTGTGACGGGGAAAGCCAGAAAGTGAGAGAGACAGAGAGGGAGCGCGGCGCCCCATTTCCCCTCACCCCACCCCCAAGTACTGCGACTGCGACCCTACCCACCTAGGTTCCCTACCTTAGGTACCTTACCCTGCCTTGCCTTACTGTATACACAGAGTACGGGCGAGGTCAAGGTGCCCGACCTCAGCACCCCTCGCTCGCTCACTCGCTAGGTCACTCGCCCGCCAGCCCGCCCCTCTCTCTGCCTCGGCGACGGTGTCCCGCAAACCACCTCATCCATTGCTTGACACTACCTACCTACACACGATCCAACCCAAAAAGTGCCAACTAACAATTCGCCAGACCAGACCAACCCAGCCCCGAGGCAGCTACACCAACACACCTTACCTACACACACTACCTACCTACCTGACCTACCTACCTACGTACAAACCCTCGGGTCCCCGACACCGCACTTCCGTCGCAACCACTCCCAGCCAACTTTCCCTCCTTCTCCCTTCATCTCTCTCTCAGGTGCAACAACCAAACGCCGTCTCTTCTTATTTGTTCTGTTTCACCAGCGAAACAAGCGGCGGTCACCTTTTTTAACATCTTGACGCCCGTTGCGACTGACCGACAGGCAGTGACCAACATCTCCCTCGCCTCGCTCTGACTCTCCGTCTCTCTCCCTAGCGCCCACACTCGCACCGTCTTCTCTCACCCGCCTTCTCGACTGTCACCTAGCTGGAAATCGCTCGCGCACCCTACCAGGTCTGCTCTATTTAGGCCGCCGTCCCCGCATCTTTTGCAACGCTTCGCTGAATCACCGTGTGACAAGAAGCGACTGTCGACTGCAAATACCGTACGTTTTCAACCGTTTTACTTCTACCCAGTCGGTGAGTCAGTCCTGCTTTTGGCGCGCCCGCTGTCATAGCCTACTTTACTCCGCTTGCCTCGGTGGCGTTCGGGGCTGTCCACTGTCTGTGTGGAGAACATCCGCATGTCCAACCGCTAGGTTCGTGTCAGTCGGAAACGAAGACAATGACCCGGGTAACTGCGCAACTGCGCAGCCTGGGTTCACGCATATGTGTCTGCACTTACGCCTCTGGATTGCACCGCTAACCTTCCGACCCCTTGCAGCTGTCGAAGTTACCCTTGGCTCTTCCCATCTCGACGACCTGCATAGCCTCCACGGCCTGCTCAGCCTCTCTGCTCCACGACAGGCGGTGTGAGCAGCTCCAGGTACCACGAGGCCTCCGACAATCACGGAACCGACACGCTTGAATCACGATAAGTCAACACTGCGCTTCGAGAGAACAAGACACGAAATGGCACAACACGGCTTCGGCCAGTTTAACGGTGGCCACGGCGGAGCTGGCGGCGGAAGCATCGATCCCAATGATCTTGCCATGGGCGGCAACTTTGGATCATCCTACTCCAATAACTTCAACTCGAACTCTGCAAACAACTCCAACGGCTTCTCGAGTGGCTCTGCCCTTTTCGGCGACGACGAGCTTCTCGATGGTCTTGGCAGTCCGACGGACACCCAGCCTGGCATCCACGGCCACGGCCAAGATTTCGGCGGCATGTCAGATATGGGTATGGGCTTCAACCAGACGATTTACGGCTCTCACCATGGCATGGATCAGAATCATATCAACGGTTACTCCAACACCCCCGATGGCGACCCTATTCAGAGCCCATTCGTTCACAGTTACAATAACTCGCAGTTTCGTCAGCTACACCACCCCCAATCTCTCGGTACATCGCTACACTCGCCAATTTCTTACTCGGGCTCGCCTTTGACCGGATCAGACATGAACGCCGAGAGCGCCGATGCCAATTATCTCAACGCTAAGAACAGGGCCAGAATGGCCCAAGCAATGCAGCGGAAGAGCTCTTCCAACACCCGAAGCCCAATGACGCCTAAGTCGACCATGCACTCCGTGCCTGAAACCACTGGCTTTGGTTCACAGTCAATCCGAACTCAAGGCTTGCATGAGAAGTCGCCATCTGCTGGCCAGTGGATGCAGACACCAACTGGAAGCATGGCGGCATCTTACGGCTCGGGCTTTTCGTCGCCCATTCAGCCCGGCTTGGCTCAACTGAATGAAGTAATGATGAAAGGGGGCACTTCCATGCCCGCAAAGCTTGGTGTTCAGCCCGCTGCTGTGTCTTCACAGGAAATGAAGCGCAAGCGGCGCCGTGAGTCCCACAACCTAGTGGAGCGAAGGAGACGAGACAATATCAATGAAAGAATCCAAGACCTCAGCAGATTGGTGCCTGCGCACCGTCTGGAAGATGAGAAGATTCGCAAGATGATTCAGAACGGTACGCCGCTCTCGCCCACCCTCACAGGCATCTCGAATCCCTCTCAAGCTACCTCGGGTCTTGCTGGTCCCGGTGCACGTCGCGCAGCTGGTGGCACGACTGGCAACATAACGACCGGCCTGCCCATTGAGGACAAGGACAAGGGCCCCAATAAGGGCGATATTCTCAACGGCGCTGTCAGTTGGACCAGAGATCTGATGTGGATGTTGCATTTGAAGCTTCAGCAGCAGGAGGAGCTCATGAACGCAATTGCGGAACTCGGCGGCCACTTCCCGTTCGAGCTTACAGAAGACGAGAAGCGCATGCAAACGGAATTGATGGAGGCAATTTCGAAGAACGATGACTTGGGGTACTCACGCGCAAGCGGCTCTGGGCTGAGGGTTCCCCATCATACCGACTACCGCGGCGAACCTCTCAACGGTTCTGCCAATCCCGATGGCCTTCCTGTCAGCCCACGGGACGATGCCGGTGCTGTCCTAACCAACGACCTGGGAGCCGGGAGCGAGTTCTGGAACGACCCAGACGACGACGAAGGTGGACCTGTATCGCTGAACTTCAAGGAAGAGGACGAGTTCGGTATGGATTTGACACAATAGTGTCATGGGTGGCATCTTGGAACGACGGCGTTTGAACGACAGCTTTTTTTCTTGTTACTGGCGAGGCCTATAGCTGGCTTAAGCTAGATGCCGTTTTGTGATTCGTTCTCATACTTTTATATTTGTGTGGGCTTCGCATCCTTCGGTCGGTCAATAGGGGTTTGGATCATAGGCAGCGGCGTTGGCAGGATCTGCGGTTACGTAGGCAACGGCGGAAAGCGCGCGGAGGGGCAACAACATGACGCGGATTTGCCAAAGGTATGCGTTGGTTCTTTTACGCTCGGTTTCCTTGCCTTTTCTTTCCTGGGTTTACCGAGCATTTATCTACTGGCAGTCGTGATACCTCTGGGGGGTTCGGTTGGGCATTTGCAAGATTTATGTTCTCCTCATCTTGCGGGCGGTCTCGCGTCTTATTCCAGGCAGCTCGTTTCTTTTATTTCGCAAGCATCATCTCTCTCTCTCTCTCTCTCCTCTCTTAATGCTAAGGTATTCTTTATATGCCTACGTTTGTCAATCCGGTCTGTTTTGTATCTACCATGCTCGGCGTGACGTCCCGACCTCTCCACGTAAGTGGCATGTGTGTTACCTTACATTTTCCTCCTGCATCCATACAATGATACCCTCTTTTTATATTTCCATAATAAAGCTAGTGACTTTTCGCACTTGGCTCCACCCATCACGGGCTTCGTAGTTGTGTAGGACTTCTGTATAGGCGTTTGCCGACGGCCGCCCAAGACTTCCCTCGCAGACGAGACGATGTCAGGGGCGAACATCAGACCCGGAATGGTCTCTACCAATGCCGCACACAAAGAAGATGCTCGCTCATCGCTGTCAACAGGTTCCAAGCCTCCTTACGTTTCATGTCCTCCTGCAATGCGATTCTCTCGAGCGCCGTCTGCCCATTAAAGTATTTCCAAAAGTCTTGCCACGCCTTGGCGACTTTTGGATCCTTGAAGCGCTTGCCGATGGCCGAAAGGTAGAGCGAGTCTTTGCCCGTGGCCTTCTTGGCGTCGACAATGATGTACGGCACCATGCGCGCCAGGTGCGGCGCGTCATTGGTTGACGGGTGGTCCGTCACCGTCGGCAGCACCTTGCGGGCATGCGCCGTGGCCTTCTCGGCAGCTTCGCGCTGCGTCTTCTCCGCGATGCGCTCCAGCCGGGCCTTTTCGGCCACCTGCTCGCTCATCGTCGGCACGTGCGCCCCTGCCGCCCCGTCGGTCTCGGACTGCTCGTCGACGGAGTTCAAGATGCCAGAACTACTGCTGCGCGCCCCGCTGCTGGTGCTGAGAGAGCTGGTGTCGTCGGCCTTGCGCAGCTCATCACTCTCGAGCTTGTGTTCGACCTCGTATATTATCTCGGGCCAGACGATGACGTATGCGAAGGTGCAGAGCTGGGTGACCCAAGCACCACGCATCAGCCATGCCAGCATGGCCAAGTACGTTGGGCGATGCGCCTTGCTAGGGCAGAAATGCTTGTACGGCCGCGGCGCGTAGGACAGTTCGGCGAGGAAGTTGGTTAGTGGCGGCGCCAGGGGAAATGTCTTTTGCCACTCTGAACTAGCCCTGGGGAGGTTGCGAGTGTCACAGTTCGGAGACATGATGTAGATATCACGAGCGTGCAGAGGCGGGATTGCAATGGCGCGGCGCCAAAAGATGAAGTGTTGTGCGTACTTACGCACTTGGCTCAGCGTCAGTACGTTACTTTGACCGACTTGATAGAAGCTATGTTTCGATCAGAGACTTGCAAAAAGAATGCTACGAGGCATTGGGCGGGGGTCGACTCACGACTGTGTTGGCTTTGACAAACGAGCAAACTCGACCATGGCGACTGTGCTGGGGTCTGGGTCTGCCTGCAGCTCAGCAATGATTTTCTTCTCATCCCCCATGAGAAGCAATGCGAAGTTGCGATCCAGGAAGCCGGGCTCGTCCAGGGTGTCTTCCCCTGTAAAGGAGTTGGCTGTTGTCAGCCAGAGACCTCTGGACTCCTTCTGACCGATTTGGTGGAGGTCGGTAACATAGAATGGCACTGGAATCTGAACGGACGGTGTGATGGGCCCAGCCGCCGTGTCGAGTTGCAGAGCCGCAATCTTGTTTTGAGATACGGCTTCATAAATGTCCTGGACGGAGGCGGCGAGAGACGAGGTTGCTAATATCTCGCTCCACAAGGAGCTCATCTTGCGTTCTACAGCACGGCGTCAGCATTGATGCCACAAAAACAATTGCCATTCAACTTACTGTCTTCGCGGCCCTTATCTTTTAATGCAGAAATGCGTTTTGACTCTTTCCACACGAACTCACTGTGTTGTTGGCAGTATTTGTAGGCCTTGTTCACTTTCTTAATAATGTTCAGATACAGAGTGTCGATGAGCTCCTTGGCCTCCTGCTTCCTCGGGTTGAGAATAAAGACCAGGTTGAACATGGTCATGGAAGCGCGTTTGTCATCCGCCTCCTCCGGCTGGAGCTTTTCATCGTCTCTTGGTTCTGTCTGAGATGCGTCGGCGCCAGTGGGCGTTTCGTCATTGTCCTCGTTTGGTTCATAGTCAACCAAGACGGCCGACTCCTCCGTCCGCACAGATTTGGCCCTCTCCGGCTTCCCTTTCTTCTTTTTCTTTTTCTTCCAGCTACCACTTTCGGGCACGTGGATGGGATAAGAGACGCAGTACAGTGGGTCGAGAGACAGCTGGAAGAGTTTCTTGTGATAGGCTCTTCCGGGGGTTAAGATACTGGCGAGATCTTTCGTAGGAAAGCCAGCCACATGCTCCCAGGGCACGATCTGAGTGCCTTCGTCGGTGATCAGGTGATCATCTCCCGCGGTCCATTGCTGCAGATCGTCCGCGTTTGCATCCGCGTCAAGCGAGGCGGGTTGATTTAGACGCTCAAGCAGAATGTCAGCGCTATCCGCGGCGGTATCTGCCGGCTCGTGGCTCTTTGATTGATTTGGGGGCAGAACCTGGGGCGGGTAGTGAAAGACGAAATTAGGGCCATCACGAGATCGGTTGATGACGAGCGCCACGGCTAGAAAGTTGGACGGGTTCGGGAGCACGGGCTGCGCCATGTCGGCAAAAATCGGTGTCACGGGGACAATGGCTCGTTTGGAGGAATATTCAAACGGCTCTAAGCTGTCAATGATGAGCACCGTGGGAGTGGTCCAGCAGGCATCGTCATATTCCAGCCGCGTGGTTGGAACGGGCGGACACCAAGGGATTCGACGCTAGATAAGGCGGCAAGCAGGCAATCTACATCCCATCCTCCCAAAATGCAGCTCGTCGACAGGGTTGCAACGAGTAAATGGTGCGCAGGGTCGTTGGCTGGGCGCGATCCGATGTTTGTACGTAACGACGGAAGGATGTATGTTGAGGGACAATTGTACGTGCGACAGTATCTAATTGGGATGCGCCGCCGTGAATGGACGGGTGAGCAAGAGCGGAAACGCGCGCGGCCAATAGATGAGAGGCTGCTGCTTGGCGGCGAGGGCGGAAGCGCAGGATGGTCTAAGCGCATGTGGCTGAACGCCGTTTCGATGTTAGAGTGGGGTTGAGGCTCCCAAGGTTTCGGCGGTGGGCAGCAGTGGTAGCATGCTCCAGCTGGTACTTTCGAGGAAGTTTATTCGTGTGCCCAGGCGGAAACACTGTCAAAGGGTCTTCCAATGCGGGTCTGAACCCAGAGCCGTCACATGTCTCGGAGTCCCCCTCCAAGAAGCCCCCATCTCCAAGTATCCACGCATACCATCGAGCTAGGCTGTATCGCAGGATTTCCTTATCTCCCTCCTGTCATACACTGGCCTAAGCTCCTAGACGAGCGCAGCGACATATGGACTGCATCGAGGAGAGACACATGTAGTCGGTGAGCGTGCTAGGGCGGGCAGTGGTGACAGGTGACAGGTGACATGACGAGACCTGCTCGGCTACAACAATGACGAAAGAACGACATGGGAGCCCCAACTTTTGGGGGTCATTTGCGATCCATCATCCAGGTCGGGGGAGAAAGCGAGCGGCCAATGCCGAGGGAGGACATGGCCAAGTGGCTGTCTAATTCGTCCAGTCCCGGGCGATCCAGGCTCTCGTGGTTGGTTGTCGCACTGCATGCAAGAACAGGTAGCAGCAGCTGCAAGGCCCTGGAAAATAGCCAGAACTAGCACTTCCGGCAGCTTTGGTGGCGGCGGGGGGAAACCGTTCCAATAAAGAAAAAAGCACACTCTCGCACACGAGCAAACGAGAGAAAGCAATGGGGGAGAGCAGAGAGAGAAAGAAGCTCTTGGACCCCGCCTCGCCCCCGCCTCGTCCACCCGCTTGTCTCTCTCACCCGACGACAGACTGACGCTCGTGCCACGCGTCCAGCGCAAAGGCCAACAAATACGGGATCGTTGAATCAATTGCGCCCCTGGTAAGCACATTTGGCTCTGGCGCTGGCGTTGTGGTCGCTGCAACACACATGAAAGACACTAGGTAAGGTGGGCAGTCGGTACCTACGAACACTGCAACGGGTCAAGAAATCCAACCCCGCCCCCCCGCCTACGGGCAGTAGAGTCCCTTAATTGAAAATGTGGCGGTCCCAGTGGCTTTCACATGTCCTGCCTATTGCCTTTTCATCTCTCAGCATCTCTGTAACTCTACCGAACCTGCTACCTTAGTATCAGCTATTCCCTGGCTGACTGGCTGGCTGCCTGCGTATTGTCTGCTTCCTTTCCTTGACCGACGACCAAAGAAGGATAGCCACTACCCACCGCCAAAAACCACACCCCCAACGAGAACTCATCTTCATTAAACTACCTGGCTTAGCGACGACTTTTTTTTCGACCTTCGGCTCCGCAACGAGGAAGGCAGCAGGTCGTGTGCTCCGCTTGACTCGATTCGCGCCAAAGACGACAACTGGTTCTCGACTTTAATACTGAAAGTCCTGCCCCTTCCCTGTCAACCTGTCCACCAATTTACTCCCCAGTCTCAATATTCTCTCCTCCCTCTCTCCCCTTCTTCGACTCTTCACGCCCCCATCAATTCGGATTGTTGGCACATTTTCTGTCAATCTGGCCCTTACCATATCCGCCTCCTGTCGGCTCCTCCCTCGAATCATCGACCTCCCTTGCGACCCCTTGCCTATCTCAGACCGCCTCAACACCCCTATTCGCAATCTGTCGTTGAACTTAACGCAACCTGGCTCGACTTTGACGATTTGCATAGCTGTCGTAGACCATCACCCTCGAAGACCGGTCACCTTGTAGCCATTGCCCTCCCGCTATTGTCTGGGCTCTCGACATTTACCTTTCTTCCCATCACCAACACCCTTGACGGTCCAGCCATGACCCAAGGTGCGAGCAACGGCCACCCGAACGGGTTGACATCTGCCCACGTTCCATTCCTCCCCCTCCCCTACGATAGCGAAGACTCTCAGCAATCCGCCACTCGTTTGATCCTGACTGTTCGACCAGACTGGGACACCGCCGATGACAAGATCGAGTTTGTTCGCTTCACCGACGGCATCACCAACACCTTGCTCAAAGCCATCAATAAGCGAAAAGGGTGGTCAACGGAGGAGGTGGACAGGGAGGCTATACTGTTGCGAGCCTATGGCAATGGAACCGCCGTTCTCATTGATCGCGAGCGCGAGGCTCAGAACCATGAGCTTCTCATGAAGTATGGCTTGGCACCCGAGCTGCTTGCTCGCTTCAAGAATGGCATGCTCTATCGCTTCGTCAAAGGCAGCGTAACCGCCCCCGAGGACCTCAGGAAGCCATCCATCTACACCGCCGTCGCCAGAAGATTGGCTCAATGGCACGCCACTGTCCCTTGCCTGACGCACCCGACATCGAAGAACGGCATCGCCAGGGGAAATGGGGACCACAGCCACCTAGACCGGGACGAGATGATTGAGAATGCCGCGCCCGGAAAGCCAACGCCGAATGTCTGGACCGTAATGCAGAAATGGATATTGGCCTTGCCCACGGATACATTAGAACAGAGACAGAGACAGGACAAGTTACAGCACGAGCTGGAATGGCTTGTAAATGAATTCAGCCAGCGCCCTGGATTGGGGGTCGATGGGGTAAGAAATACTCACCTGAATCGCCCTGTGGAATATTGTTGGCTAACCAGTCCCGGCTCACAGCTTGTGTTTGCCCACTGCGACCTTTTGAGCGGGAACGTCATAGTGTTACCGACGACCTACGCTGCGAGTGGCGCTAAGGATCAAGTCTCGGTCACGTTCATCGACTACGAGTACGCAACCCCGTCGCCAGCTGCATTCGACATCGCCAACCACTTCGCCGAATGGGGCGGTTTTGACTGCGACTACAGCGCGCTGCCTAGCCGTAGCCAGCGTCGTGAATTCATCGATGAGTATGTCCGCGCCTACTTCAAGATTTTGCCTGGCAAGAACATCATCGACTTGGAGACGGAAGTAAAGAAACTCAACGACGAGGTAGACCTGTTCCGTGGCGTACCAGGCTTTTACTGGGGCATCTGGGCGCTTATCCAAGCTGTCATCTCGGAGATCGACTTCGACTACGCATCTTACGCCGAGACACGTCTCGCAGAGTATTGGGCCTGGAAGGACGAAAGGGATGGCAGCAGAGCCGCAGCCAACAAGGAAAAGCCTCTGCGCGAGCGACGATGGGAACAAATGGAGTAAGTAATGATGAAGGGCTTCCTGTCACGAGGAGGCTTTGATGACGGGCATCAGCGAAGAACAACGCCAAAAAACGGAGTTTCTTTAGGCAAGGATTTCTGTATATAAACTTCAACTGCGAAACAGAAATGGATCGACGGGAGCGAAGCATGATATCGACAAGGGCCGGCGTCATTCAACATGAGCTCGACGAAGGCCTCGAATGAGCTCCGGGGCGTTTCGGGACTAGATGAATCTAAGTAATAATTATCCTCCAATTGTTAGTACACATGAGCATGACAGAAGAAGAGAGTATGAGCCAGACGAGTCCCAGTACTTTTTTCCCCCACATCTCGAGTGGAAGCAAACCAAAAAACATACATTTTGCTGCTCTGTCCAGGGTTCATCCGTATCGAAGGGCGAGAACTTGGGCTTCTCGACCTTACGTAGGTGTGCACGACTTGAGCAGATGGGTGGGGGGTAAAGAAAAGAGGGGGAAAGGTGGACGCCCGAGAGAAACAAAAACCGAAAACTGGCAGCGATACATCTCAGGAGACAAAATATAGCAAGTACTTGCACATCGGTGCAAAGAAACAACAAGTGATTCAATATTTGGGCTTGACGTAGGCAGATTGTAGGCACATGTGAATTCAACCCACCCATCACCTATTTCAGCCTCTGCACTGACCACCTTGGAGACGGCACTAGATGATTAGATCTTGGTCTGGGCTTCGCACGTACTCTGTATGCCCCTACCGTCATTCATCATTGCGCCTCATAACCCACGACGGAATGGCGTGCAAGGTTTTCAGGCTGATGTTGGCCGGCGGAGAAGAGAGTAACAACTTCCCGCACTCAATTGCGCATCGCTCCCCGTCTCTCTCAACATAAGGACGATGGGGGCTGCCACACCCGCCGCCTCGTCACAATGGATACTCCCGACTGCCCAACCTAGGTAAAAGCACTGACAAAAGTAGTTTTGCTCAAAGCTGAGTGTAATGGCTTTTGATATAGCAGCATCAATCATAACAGACACGTAGGCAGACTTGGTCTGACATACGCCACACTTCCCCATCGAGATACGCTGGCGACGATAGCCGAGTGGAAAGGTAGATGACAAGTACACACGAGAGGCAGCAGACGGTTAGCCAGTCGAATCGGGTCGAGTCGAGTCGTGTCGTGGGAGGAGGATAGGAGGCCGAGGAGGTAAAATACTAACAAGCAAGATGAGATTGAACGAGGAAGAGATGGACCGGGAAGCCTGGGAATGGGGCAGCGGTTCCGGCTTTTCCATCCCATCCAAAGCAGAGGTTTCGTTTCGGAGGCATGAGCCGCTTGGCCAACCGTGCTGCTCCTGACGCGCGTGGTACGAGCATATCGAAACAGCGGGCCGATGGACAGCTCTGAAATCGAATTCTGTCACCGTCTCATGAGGAGGAGGAGGAGGATCTGAGGTTGGCGAAGTCGGCCTGACTTGATCACGTCGGGCGTCGGAGAACGACTGTCGCCGGCTCAAGTACTACTGCTATGCATGGGGAGATGAATAAATCTTGCACGGAGAAGGCTTGATTGAGTAATTTTGCTTTGGTTTAACATGCTCTTACTCTGTACCAAATCCAAGGATCAGGATTCTGGCCACTGGGCCAAGGACGAATGGGACTCGCGAGGAGGATGAACTCCTCCCCACCGAACCGAACCGAAGCCATGAATTGGTCTGGGGGTAATTCAATTGCGGCAGGGGGGGATGTCGATTCAAGGTGTGCTTGCTATGAACCCAGAACCGGGTACTCTGTATCTGGGCGGTATAAAATCCGGCTGACAGGACAGGTGCTCAAGTACGTGGTTGCCGCAGGGAGAAGACTCAAATACCATCGACTGGGATTCGAGCGGCTAGGAGAAGTCCCGTCATGAAGTATGGCATGGGTAGTGATGGACGGATGGGCGTGGCGCTCTTGGTTTGGTGTCCTTCCTTCCTTCCATCCATCTGCGTGCATGTGCTGTCGATTTCGTTACTTTGAACACGCAACTTCGAATCCGCTGCTGTTGAGAGCGTCTTGACTTTCTGGCCAGACGCACCGCTCATGCAGCGCGGCGAACGAGCAACGGGCACGCGTACCAATCTTTCATGGTACATCCATGATGTAGATGCAGTTCATGCCGCGAACATTTGAGTATTTTCGAACTCTCCGTGTCCATAGTCGCTCGCAGCCTTCACTGCGCGACTTGGAACCCCTCACAACATGGGTAGCATTCCCCTCTCGTCTCTGCCGTGGCCAACATCTGGGAGATCGCCTCAGGTACTCATATTCTGGATGAAAGTTTTCGGCTGTCTTGATGGTGTTAGATGACCCGAGACGCACGAACGCGAGCCGGGGTCTGCAGTGCGGAGGAACCGTAATCACAACCATGCTGTAGATGGAATTCGAAGTGCTAATGCCGCCTGTCCTATCTTCCGTCCGTCTCGAAGGCCGATGACTATTTGACTTCCATCCCAGGGCTAAGAAGGTGTGATGGTCCATGGAGGGGGAGGGATAGGAAGAGCCCATACAGCATTGGCCAACCGCCGCTCCCACCTCGATCTTTGGCCACTGCCCGACCCCATTCGCCGTGTGACAGTGATGTAGGCATCGCGCGCGTCTCGCTGCTTTAAGCACCCTTCAATCAGCTGGGTAGCTGTAGCTGTGGCTCCCCCTCAACCTCGCCTGCACAGCTATCTGCAGGTTGTAACGGTGACTCGGCACATGCTTGTTTCTGCCGGGACTGGCCCCCAGCATCGAACCACGGACTCTGTGGCCCACGTGGAGCATTGGTCCGTGTGGGCGTGGGCTTATGTGGACATGGGTGTGAATTTGTAAGGAGGGTGTGGTTATTCCGGTGCTATCTAGGTACGGGGTCTGGTTGCGGCAGCACGCCACACAGCAAGGCACAGTGGTTCGGAGGGAGATGGGATACTGCGTATGAATCTCGCTCTCTGCAGTGGCGGAGAGCTATTGCTGAGGTACGCAGTGGAAAAGTGAGCGGACGAGCAAGGCAGAATGTCGCCATCCAGTGTACATGGAAGGATTCCCCTGTAGTTGCGTGATGCTTCGAGAACCGTTCCAGCCCGAGTGAAAACCAAGCATGCAAGGCCCAAGTAGCGCAAGCATGCGCATTGGGGGAACAAAGCCAAGACTGCCGGTCCACGGATGGGCAAAGCTGTATACAAATGCCGTTCTTGTGCAGGCAAGTCAGGAGGAGATTCCCATTTATATGACAATTATCCAGCTGAAGCCTCACACGAAGAGGAGGGGCGGCATGCCGTGTGTTTGCTGGTATGCTGCCACTGCAAGTGACAGACGTCAGCAGTCGACCAACGAGCAGACGGACTGGCTCGAGACGAAGCACAGCGAACAGATATTGAGGCCAGGCGTCCATTTGACCTGACCTCGTCTGGTGTTTTCCGGTCGAGCCTTGTCTGGCCTGAGCAGCATCTCAGCGGCCGGCGGTCGGAAGACTGCGCAGGCGGCCCCACGTAGACGCCAAGCCAGCGCCCTCGCCCAGGCTCATGGACCCCATGAACATTGTCAGACGGGGGATTCGAGTGCTCTGGTTTGGTTTTTCTACGGTGCTCAGTCGTCCAAAAACGAATTTCTCTGCTTGCTCCTCCCAGTGCCTCCACTTCTCGGGACGGGAAATAAAGCGGTAAAAACTCGAGCCGGCCAGGAGTCCCTACCGATGAAGGACGAGGGGAGTAGCTGAGAGGGCGCGCGCTGAAGGGCTGGAAGTTAGGCTTGGTAGTTGCCAACAACGATTGAGTGCGTCTGCGGCCGCTGACCACCCTCCTTTTCAAAATCCAACGGTCATTGCTTCCCTTCAACTCGCCTCGAACCCCCGCAGTCCACGGTGGCTTGAGAACTCGTTGATGTAGTACCGCCGTAGCCATCATTGGAACAAACAGCCGTTGGACTTGAGGCGTAGGAATTGCACGGAGGGTACAGAGAGTTATGAGAAGAGCTACCAAGTAACATCCTAACCAGCCAAGCAAGTGGCTAATGTAACGAGGTAGGGGAGAAGCTGGGATGAGCCGGGGGTGTGGGATGCCAGATGACAGGGTCTGGAGGCGTGTGTGAGAATACCGCGTACAGTAAGGATACCTGCCCTGTGGACCATGCATGACCTGTGCGAGTTGACTGTTGGAGGGTGGTACGGTCCAAAAATGGGGGCCTGTGGTAATATGACGGGCGAGGTAGGGCCGAAGCGAGAGGGCATGGGGGTAGCTGATAAGAGGCGGAAGGCGTACAGGGCCTGCGTGTTGTCCGAGTTCCAAGAGCCTGGCGGCTCGCGTCGCCTCGAAGACAGCTCGTCAGTCGCGTCATAAGCCGACAGACACTCATCATGGGCCGGCTCAGGCAAGTTTTGTAGTAGGCTGGAGACCGAGATCGTCGTATGTGAGAGGGGTGAAAAAGACTCTGGATACAGCGAGTGGAGGAAAACAAGAGACGAGCCGACTGAGAGGCTGGGCCAAGAAACAGACGGCGACGCAGAACGATGCGAGGCGAGGCGAGGCAAGCCTTAGGCCCGGTTGAATGATTTGTCTGCGGGCGAGGATCGGACGCGCAGACACGGAGTACGACGACTGTACATGGAGAACCTCGGATGGCGGCCGAGCTCCCCACAGGACGCCGCAAATGTTTGAGAGGATTTTGAGGGATTGAATGTACTCTGCATGTAGAAAGAGAGACGGACAGAGGATTGAGGGGCGGCCACTAGAATCGAGAGAAGTTGAGTGGTTCATCAGCTCCATGCCCTGGCTGCTCGAGCAGGTAACGGTAACGATGCCGGCAGGCATTTGAAGCGGCAAACTTACCAACACTGGCCTCTGTCGACAGTTACATCCGCAACGGCCCCGGTATTCGAACCCAGTTGCCAACCAGCACCGCACCTCAAACTTGGGACCGATGAGCCCCTCTTGCCGGGAATATCGAAATGGGGTTGCTTGCTTGCGCCAGTGGCTCGCGGGAGAGGTGCATGCTCAAGGGTTTCCC